AGAAAATCCAAGGACATAAATAACAAGAAGACTGATAAGATTTTCCGAAGATACCAGGAGGTCAAATTTTAAAAAAAATTCTTTTTTTTTTGTTTGCTCCGCCTTTATTTCCATCTTCTTCTATCTTCTTTTTCTTTTTCTTTTTCTTTCTATCTTCTCTTCCCTTCATCTCCTTTATCTCTTATACATCTTTTTTTTTATCTTTCTTGCTTGGCTCTTCTTTTTTCTTCATTTTTTTTTATTTATATATATATATACATATATGTTTTTCCCTGCTATGTTTTATGAAAACCTCAATAAAGAATATTTAAAAAAAACAATTAAACATTAGTATAACAATCATTAGCACCTCAACAGTAAAATCAGAATCCAGTCTCAACATCCATTATTCCGTATTCCTATGTTCAATCACACTGTTTAGTCAAAGGCTTGTTTGAACAGCCAGGTCTTCACCTTCCTCCGAAACGCCAGCAGGGAGGGGGTCGATCTGATATCTGCAGGCAGGGCGTTCCACAGCCGAGGGGCCACCACTGAGAAGGCCCTGTCTCTCGTCCCCGCCAAACGCACCTGTGATGCAGGCGGGACAGAGAGCAGGGCCTCCCCAGATGATCTTAGTGTCCTAGCCAGTTCATAGGAGGAGATGCGTTCGGAGAGGTAAGTAGGGCCAGAACCGTTTAGGGCTTTATAGGCTAACGCCAGTGAAGGGATGAATAGAGCTTATTAGGAAATTATTAGAGCTTATTAGGAAATGCTGAAAACTGCAAAGCCTAAGGAAGAGCCTTGTCCTTTGCCATAGAAAGGAGCAAGGGCAAGAAGAGAGACAGAGTTTTGGAAAAGAACAGGAAAGAACAGGATGCAGAGCTGAAGGACAAGGGACAGGATGACATCCAAGAATTTGCAGTCATAACATGAATGAGAGAGGCTCTAAGTAGGTGAAAGGGTATCAGTTCTTGTAGGTGTCAAGAGGAAGAAGGTGAAAGAACATGTTTTTGAAAGGAAGTTTGGAAGAGGGGTGGATCTGTTCATGGTCTGTTCATGACACGGCAGAAAAAGGGTATAAGAATGAAATTGGAAAGATCAAATGGCACAGGCAGCCCTTTGACAGACATCTGATTGTCTAGCTGTTTCTGTCCGGTGCGGCTGCACTTGCAATAAAAGGATTTCTTGCTTCAAACCTCATGGAGACTTGCTGTCTTTTTAGATTCACCACATTTGCCTATTGAAATAGTTCTATTCACCAGCACTTTGAATTGTGCCCGGTAGCAAACTGGCAGCCAGTGGAGCTGGCGCAACAGAGGAGTTGTATGCTCCCTGAGTGCCGCTCCTGTTAACAACCTGGCTGCCGATCGTTGGACCATTTGAAGCTTCCGAGCAGTCTTCAAAGGCAACCCCACGTAGAGGGCATTGCAGTAGTCTATACGGGATGTAGCCAGAGCATGGACTACCGTGGCCAAGTCAGACTTCCCAAGGTACGGGCGCAGCTGGCGCACAAGTTTTAATTGTGCAAATGCTCCCCTAGTCACCGCCGAAACCTGGAGTTCCAGGCTCAGCGATGAGTCCAGGATCACACCCAAGCTGCGAACCTGCGTCTTCAGGGGGAGTGTGACCCCATCCAACACAAGCTGTAACCCTATACCCTGTTCGGCCTTACGACTACCTCTGTCTTGTCTGGATTCAATTTCAATTAGTTAGCGCTCCCGCCCGTTCCACGTCGGGGACCTTAACTTCGCCTCCTTAATTATTATGTTTGGGAGCTCCGTATTGACTCGCGTTGGACATCCTCCGCTACCGATACCCCCCTGTTAAACAACGTAGGGGACAATATTGATCCCCATGGAACCCCACAAGACAATGGTTGTGGGGCAGAACAGGTATCCCCTAACAACACCTTCTGAGATCGACCCTCTAGGAAGGACCGGAGCCACTGCAGAACAGTCCCTCCAAGGCCCATTCCCGCGAGGCATCCCAGAGGGATACAGTGGTCGACGGTATCGAAGGCCGCTGAGAGGTCCAGCAGAACCAACAGGGACACACTCTCCCTGTCCAGTTCCCGGCGTAGATCATCCACTAAGGCAACCAAGGCTGTTTCAGTTCCATGTCCCGGCCTATAGAAGGATGTTCCAAGTGTTTGCAGTTTAATACTCTTTCCTCATGTTTTAATGACAGAATGAATTAGAGAATTACAACCTAGGAACAAAAATTGTGTGACACAGTGTTATTTAGAGTCAAATTTGCATTCCATTTTCTGGCACCCATTGTGCCTCTTTTTTGGATGTCCTCTAAGCTGTGGGATTAAACAGATCCAAATTTCGGGTGAAATACTTGAACTCTTCTGAAAGTGAGAACTAGAATCCCGTTTATGAACTGGAAACGAAAATATCAAACTATCCCCGCAATTGGCCTCAGGCTGGGCGGTTTCGTTCGTTGATTTTGTAATTTGTTCATAAAAAAAACATCTGCAATTTAGGGCTTGGTGGCGGTTTCGTATCGTTGATTTTGTAATTTTGTTTATTAATCTCGTATTTAATTTATTTGTTTGAGGGGCTTGTTTCGGTATTTTTCTGTTTAATTTCTTGAAGTTCGATTAAAATTCGTTTTTTGTTTTGTTAGACTTGTAAGTGCATATAAACTTGTAAACCATCTGGAGCTATTCATTAATAGTGTTCTAGTTAAATTGAAAATCGGGAGAGACGAATTTTTCAATGGTCCGTTTCGTTAATTATGTCTATAATAATATGATAATTCGTCAATTGTTTATTGTAGTGGATTTTCGTATGCATTCGTTTCGTTATTTGGTTTGAAGGGTCGGTTGTTGGGTGTCGTGTGTGATTCATTTTCCCTGTCTCCCGCTGGCAGTTCTGGGGCAAAGTTTTTATGATAGTATGTTTTTTTGTTTAAATTAGTCGAACCACAAAATTAATAATTCTCACCCCACCGCGGTCAAGCTTCAGCTCCGCCCCCTGTCCCATTTGGGGGGATGGTTTTTTTTTCAAATTTTTTTTTGAGGGAGAGGGAAGCTTCAGAACGTTTTGGAGGTTTTTTAGCGTATTGCGCGGTCGCGTCCGCCATTAACGAATCGATTCGTTATTGTTTCGTTATTGTTTTGTAATTTTTTTACCATTTACGAAATTTCGTAAATATCGAACTTTTTTTAAAAAAAATTCGGAATTCTTTTAAATATCGAAACGCAAAAAACCCCAAAAAATGAATCGATTTTAGAAACAAATTTTTCCGTTGTTACCCAGGCCTTATGTATATAAATTAGCTTACGATCCAATATTGAGCCATGCAGGAATAGTGTGAGGAGTAAATTAGATTCGAAACAATTTTTTCCAATTTATTTCGTAATTATTTCGTAATTATTTCGAAATTATTTCGTAATAATTTTCGCATGTCTGGTGCAAGTTTTATAGTTGTTGTTTGTTTTATCACACCAACAGTCAACAACAGAGGGAGAGGGAAGCTTCAGAAGTTCCCCCTGTCCCATTTGGAGGTTTTTTTTTAGCATATTGAGCAATTGCGTCCGCCATTAACGAATCAATTCGTAATTTTACGAAATTTCGTATATTTTGAAATTTTTAAAAGGAAAATTTCAGAATTATTAAAAAAAACGAAACGCAAGGGCCTCCTAAAAACCGAAACGAGTTTAGAACCAAATTTTACCCAAGCCTAAATCGCATCCCTTTCCATGTTTGACATCCAGAGAAAGAGAGCTTCCATATGATGATGTCATATAAACATACACAAAGATACAGAAATTCGTGTTAAGATCAGAACTTACCCAAAACCCTAAAAACTGGAGAAATGAATGGCAAAGCCGTACTTTACCAGGATGTTTGATTCCCGGTGGGATGTGTATCCTGGTCTGATCGTAATAAATCGCCCATGAGACCCCGAAGACTAGAATGAAAAGGCTGGCATATAACACAAGCATCCCGAGAGTTGCAAGAAATGCCATGCTCATGACGAACGAAAGGACTCCTGTTTGTCCTGGTTGGTTTCCAATGTTTTATATCACACCAGCCTCCCCACTTTGCAGGGAATTTATTTATTTATTTATACCCCACCCTTCACACTCTCAGGGTAATTAAAACAAATTAAAACAATGAGAGCCATGTTTCAACACTGGAAAGGATACACACAAGGGGTGTGAATTTTCTATTAGTCGTATCAAATGAATCAATTACATACTTATGAGATGATATCCGACACGTGCTAAACTTAAGAATGGAAACTTACGCAATGAATGGTTGAATCTGCAAAGGGGAGAACTGGCTGGACAATTTTTGTACTGGACTTCTGAATGAAGCAGAGAGTGTTTGAGGACTGGGACATCCGTAGGGATACCAAGCTGCTTGTTTATAAAGCCACTAGCTTTCCCTGCCACGTGTTGCTGTGGCCCACCTTACCTCCCTCTTTCTCTCCTTCTTTCCCTCATTCCCTTTTCTTCTGTCCTTCTCTCTTTTCTTTCTTCTCTTCCTCTTTCCTTCTTTTTTTCTTTTCCTTCCCTTTCTCTTTCTTCCTTCTCTGCCTCTTTCCTTCCTTCCTTCCTGTGGTTTTTGTTTCCATTCTTCCTTTTGTCTTTCCTTCCTTCCCCCCTCTTTCTCTTTCTTTCTCTTCTTCCTTTGCTCCTCTTTCCTTCCTTTTCTTTCCTTCTCTCCTTCCTTCCTTCTCTTCCTCTTTCCTTCTTCCTTTTTTCTTTTCCTTCCCTTTCTCTTTCTTCCTTCTCTGCCTCTTTCCTTCCTTTGGTTTTTGTTTCCATTCTTCCTTTTGTCTGTCCTTCCTTTCCCCCTCTTTCTCTTTCTTTCTCTTCTTCCTTCGCTCCTCTTTCCTTCCTTTTCTTTCCTTATCTCCTTCTTTCTCTACCCATTTCTTTCCATCCCTCTTCATTTCCTCTTTCTCTCTTTTCTTCCTTCTCTACCTCTTTCCTCCTTTCCTTCACTCTTTGCTTCCATGTTTCCTTCTCTGTATCCTTCCTTCATTCGATGTTTTTCCTCTTCCTTGATTGGGCCCGCCGTGGCGAAGGGAGGGGGCATGTCTTACCGGAGGGGGGTGGGAGGAGGGAAGGATTGAGTCTGGGTGGGAAGGGGCGGGGCGGCAAAGGGAGGGGGCGTGTCTTACCGGAGGGGGGTGGGAGGGAAGGATTGAGTCTGGGTGGGAAGGGGCGGGGGCGAAGGGAGGGGGCATGTCTTACCAGAGGGGGGTGGGAGGAGGGAAGGATTGAGTCTGGGTGGGAAGGGGCGGGGTGGTGAAGGGAGGGGGCGTGTCTTACCAGAGGGGGTGGGAGGAGGGAAGGATTGAGTCTAGGTGGGAAGGGGCGGGGTGGTGAAGGGAGGGGGCGTGGCTTCCGTGGAGGGGGCGTGGTTGGCAGCAGAGGAGGAGGTGGAGGAGGGAAAGAATTGAGTCAGGGTGGGTAGGGGCAGGGCGGCGAAGGGAGTGGGCGTGGTTTGCAGTGAGGGAGCATTGGCCGGCAATGTGCGCGCGGTGGGGGACTCGCGCCGGGGCGCTTCTGCGCATGCTCCCTTTGTTTTGGAAATTGTGGGTTTGGTAAAATGTTGTTTGCTATTTTGATGAGATTTGTGCATACCTTGTGGGCTGAGGTATGTGCATGGGAATTTTGTTAAATTTTTGTCGGGGTTTTTTTTAGTTTTGCTGTCCCGTTGGACGCCCCTTACAGATTTATATATATAGATTGTCCTCCCAACTCTGCTATACGCCTGCAAAACATGGACTGTTTACCAGGCTTGGTTGATCTGGTTCGGAAGTTTCTAAAATCGGAATGAATTCATATTTAAATGATTTTAGAAACAATTTCGAGCCATGCTGGAATAGTGTGAGGAGTAATTAAGAACTGAAACAATTTACCCATTTTTCGGAATTTTTTTCATATGTCTGGTGCAAATTTTACAATCTCGTAGTGTCCCTGGCCTCCCTGGCGATGCGGAAGGGCGAGGTGGACGTGGCTATGCCCAGCTCTTCCTGAAGGCCATGCCCCCAGGCCATCAAGAAGAGCTGGGCGTAGCCATGCCCATCTCATTCCCCTGCCTGCCATCCATCGCCATTCAGTCACCCAGGGGAAGCAAACTGCGAGATTAGTTTTAAAATCTCGCAGTTTGCCTTTCCTGGGTGACTGAATTGTGATGGATGACAGGGGAATGAGGTGACCTTCAGGAACAGCTGTTCTTACCCACGTCCCACCTCGTCCCTATTTGCATCGCCGGGCATGCAAAGCCGCTGATGCAAAGAGGAAGGTGGTGGTCATGGGAGCTGGGCATAGCCACACACCTCGCCCTTCCGCATCGCCGCTTGTCGCCAGGGAGGCCAGGGAAGCTGCGAGATTTTAAACTAACAGGAGGAGGGACACCTTCCATTAATGAAGTAAACGAAGCTATTCAGCTTTTAGCTATTTCCGATCTTTTTTTCAAGAAAATTTGAGAAATAATTTTAAAATTGAAACGCCAGCACCCCCTATTTATTTATTTATTTATTTACTTTGCTTCTATACCGCTGTTCTCAGCCCGGAGGCGACTCACAGCGGTTCACAAAACACAGAACACAGCAGAATTCAAACACCAATATAAAACAGTTAATAACCTAATCTAATACACAATTAATACACAATTACTATGATAACCATTCACTAGCGTCTCGTCACTAAAAACATGATCCAGATTCGTCATCCATTGTTCCATTCCTATGTCATTACCAGTCTTGCACTAATTATTCGAATGCCTGCACAAATAACCAGGTCTTTACTTTTTTGCGGAAGACCATAAGAGATGGTGCTAGTTTAATATCTGTGGGAAGGGTGTTCCACAGCCGGGGAGCCACCACCGAGAAGGCCCTGTCTCTCATCCCCGCCAGCCGAGCTTGTGAAGCTGGCGGGATCGAGAGCAGGGCCTCCCCGGAAGATCTCAAAGTTCTGGTGGGTTCATAGGCCGAAATGTGGTCGGAAAGATAGCTTGGGCCAGAACCGTTTAGGGCTTTAAAGGTCAACACTAGCACTTTGAATTGAGCCCGGTAGCAAGTCGGCAGCCAGTGGAGTTGGCGCAACAGGGGGGTTGTATGCTCC